ACCAACTCACTCAATCAATACTACAATTTGACAAAATCACTTATTCTAGAATCACTTAATTTTTAAGCTGTAATTGAAAATGCAGAAAATAAAGGAACACAAGATTTGATGAGGCAGTTCCCCCAGTCGTCCTCGCGTTGGGGTACGTCTGCCCTCAATTCTACAATGAGAATTGAGATATGTATTGAATAGATATCACCTGTTTGGTAGAACAGTTATACACAAGAATCGATAGACAATTGATACAAACAATCTTAATGTTGCTGATAATTTCTACCACTTCTTGCCCCTTGATTCAAGATGAATCAAGTCCTCCAATTTGATGTGAATGACCTCCGATTGCAGCCACCTTATTGACAACTCTTCCGTTGATCAAACCTTCGGCACGGCTGATCTTAGACACACCCAAATTGAACCCGGAACGTCTTCAACCTTTCAACGCCCTAGCTACTAGATTGATCAACCTTCCGCTAATCAATCACCTTCGCACTCGCTTGATTGTTGAACCGACGATTCCGTAACAAAAGCCTTCAAAACCTGTAGTCTTGATAGGTAAAACCTCAAAGGTTTTCTCCCAAGAAACACCTGCACCAGCTTCCACTCGAACCGGATCTTCAATCACGCGTTCGAACCTTATCACCGTCGAGCAAACCACAAACCGCAGCAAAGAAATTGATTATCTGTAATTTGAGGATTTGTGAGTTGATTGAACGATGAAGATGAAGAACACTGATGCACCTCTTTCACGTTTCTTGACCTGAACACTTTCTCACAATGCTTTCAAAAAAATGTTAGTTGTTAAAATTGAAAAGACAGCTATTTATAGTAATATACAAAACAGACAGTTGACAGATCAATGAAACATAGCAGAATTTCTGTTTCTGCGCGCGAACGGTCGACCATAGGGTCGGCGTGCGCTGAGCCGTGTGACACTCAAACTGTCATGCGCCGAGTCAGCGGTCGACGCATGATCTTCATGCGCTGAGCCGTCTGATTCTTAAACCTGCATGCGCCAAGTTAACGGTCGACGCATGACCTTCATGCGCTGAGCCGTGTGAACTGAATGAAACTGTGTGCTGACGGTATGGTCGGCTCATGGTTCAAAAATCTGCAAAAACATAAATTTCTACAGCTTTTTGTGCATTACGACATTGTAAAAATTGAATCATAAGTAGCGTGAATGATTTAAACGAAAGAAGGATATCTCTTAGCAAGTTGTCATCATCAAAAACCAGAGGCACGCTTGTGTTGGTAGATACTTTGCCTTCACAAAAAATACCATTGGATGACATAAATGTTTGAAATTGTTGAGATAAATATTCACGTGCATTGTCACTTCTTAAGGTACGAATGGACAAACCAAATTGGATTCTTATTTCCCGATAAAATTATTCAAAAATAGAAAACAATTCAGATCTATTCTTCATTAAAAATAACCACGTGCAACGTGAAAAATCATCAATAAAGGTGACAAAATACCTAGACTCAAGAGTAGAGACAGTATGCGAGGGACCCCAAACATCGGTGTGAACTAAAGCAAAAGGGGACGAAGCTTGTTTGTTGACTCGACTGGGAAATTGACTACGAGTGTGTTTCCCTAACTGGCACGACTCACAATGTAAATTAGATACCTTCGATAAATTTGGCACCAACTTATGTAATTTGGAAAGACTAGGATGACCTAACTGAGCATGGATAGTGAGTGGAGAATCTTTGGTTGAGCATGTCTGAGATGACAATAAAAGGTAGTAAAGGCCTTGAGACTCATATCCGACGCCAATCGTCTTTCCCGAACTCCGATCCTGCAGGGTAACATTATTATTAGTGAAGGTGATACTACAATCAAGAGAACGAGTTAAGCTCTGATACCATATTAGAGTTTGGCTTAACACAACCCTACAAAACCGGTTGGTAAGGTGAGGGGTGTCACTCTATATAAACTATTTCAATGCTCTATCTCCAACCAATGTGGGACTTTAGGATTTTCCTAATACACCCCTCACGCCCAACACTCTTTTTGGGCTTGGTGCATGGATTTAAACGGTGGGTTGCCCAATGTCCGATCGATAGGCTCTGATACCATGTTGAAATACAAGAGACTAAGAGACATGAATAAACCGTATGTTTTGAAAAGCACTACGGAGACATTATTATATATAAATAGATTACAACTAATTACATGATATAGTCGATGTGGGACTATTCTATATACAAATATTCTTAACACTATATATATTTATAAATATTAACACATTTTTCAAAAAAATCCATGTTTGAAGAACCAATCATTTTCTTATTAATTTTTCATTATCCAATTCTAGATCCAAATTCAATCTCAATCTAATTCAAGTTTCAGTTCCGTCTTCATCCAACTCAATTCTGTTTCAATTTTCAAATTCTATCCCATACAAGTTTCAAGTTCATTCTAAAATACAAATTCATTCAAGATCGATATTTTTTTCAATTTCCAACTTTCTTTCAAATTATTTCCAAATATCTCTTCACAAATAACACCCAAGATTCAATTTCATGTTGTAAATTCCCTTCAAATTGTTTCAAATTCCATTCCAAAATTCATTCAAGATCAATTTGAAATTTATTCCATTTTAAGTTTCAAGTCGTTCCAAATTTCATTTGCAAGTTTCATTCATGAGTTCAAATCCAAACAAAAGTCTTAAATTCAAAGTTTGAATCCTCCATTCAAATTCAATTCTAATTTCATTTCAAATTTTATTTTTCATTTCAAATTCAAAAACTAAAGCTATAATTTTCAAATCAATCTCTTTTCAAGTTTTATTCCAAGTTTCTATCTCAAAATACCAAACTCCAGTTTCCATCCAAATGTTAATTTCATGATTAATTTGCAAGTATAATCCAAAGTTCAATTTATAATCAAGTTTCCCTCTTTTCTGGCCAAGATACAAAAATTAATCCAAAGTTACAAATAAAAAATGTGTCCATAAATTTTCAACCCCAAGCCAAAAATTCCTAGGGCCAATAACATTAGTCCAAATACATAGAAGAAAAAATAGCAAACTAAAGAAAATGTAATATGAGCTTTTCCCACTCCTGCAAAACTTCTGCTACCCACAGACAACACGGCCTGCCCCTAATAACCTTCGTATAACGCCTGCCCAACCGTACAATATGGGCCCACCTTCATCCGTTCATCAATTTTCCCTGCTAGATTGAAAACTGCTGCTCCAAAACGTGACAAAACCAGCACCAACAAACTACGCCTAAAGCTGCGAAATCGCACACCCCCAATTACCACCTACATATACCTACTTTTCCAATTGACTGTCTGCTATTACACCTGCACAACATTACAAAACAAAAGGGACCACAACCCTTGCAAGTTTAAATACGACACAAAAGGAAAAGCTGCAATACGCTGTCGCCCAGCCATTAATGCAGTAGAAAAAACAAATATCCAACTCTTCCTTTCCTCTACCCTCCAAGATAAACCGTACTGCCCTGAAGAAATTCCCACACAAACTTTGCCTTAAACCAAAACGCAACAACAACGGCTATTTAAAAAAGCCGACAAATCCCGCAAAACCTCACAGCAGTACCTATACAACATAACCTGCAGTCGAATTCGTGCGACATCACCACAAACTTGCTATCAAAGCCACGCGTAGACAACCAAAACCAAGGGTACAACCTGCAGAACGTACGATCCACACAAAACACACAAAAACATTCAACATTGCTACGCCAAAACCGCATCTCGCAGCACTGCCACAACAACGAAAGAGCAATAGCAAACCCTTAAAATCCTGAGGGGAATTGATTTGAACAAAAAAAACAGAAGAGGTTACCTCATCTATTTCCCCTCAAGTATCTCATTTTATTTCTTCACTCAACATTTTCACAACAAAAAAGATTTTCCTCTTCTTCAAACCTTCACCGAACTTTTTCTGCAACTTTTCTCTCAACCTCACAAATCTCAACAATACTCAAGCTTCAAATTCCCATAAATCCATAAATCTTTTTCTTCTTGAATCTTCGCACCCTCAAACCTCTTTCAAATCTTCAAACCATGAAGTCACTCAAAAACCCAAATAGAAACATAGAACCACAGAATGAAATAAGAGATGAAGAGAGATTGGGTGAAGCGCAAACAGAAATGAGATAGATAATGAAACCTTGAAGATAGATCGGAATTAGTTGATGCGAGTCAAAGCGGGAAGTTGAGAGAACAGGGGAAAATATCGATTGTGCGAAGAGAAAGTTGACCGATTGAAGAGTTCCTCCTTCATTGTTGTTGTTGTGATGTTGATTTCTTTTTCTAAGCAAATCGCCTCCGTTGTTGTTGTCGCTGTGCGGAGGATGTCGTCGCCGTATCGTCTTCCACTTTTCCTTGTTAATTTTCCTTTTCTTTTATTCTTGTTAAAAAAAATAATACTGATAATGTGGTGTTAGTTTTGAACCATTTTTCTTTTCGAGTGGGTTGTGTGGCCTGTGTCACTTTTGACACCCTTCATTTTCTATTGTCAGCCGTGTTGGTTTGTTGATGGATGATGGGCTCCATCAAGCCCGCATGATTCCATACTTACTTGCACCTTAGGTAGTTAGTTCATTTTAGTTTATACCTTAATTTTAAGTTGACTAACTTTATTTTAGATTTAGTTTTGCTTTTAATTTCAAATTTAGATTTAAATTTTTGATTAAAATGACCTCAAATAGTTTTAGATTGATTTTAGATTTTGATTACTTGTTAATTAAAATTTTCTTGTCAATATTTGGTAGACTTTAGTGCAGGTCATTTGATCAGAGAATATATTCAGCACAAAGTTCAGATTATTGCTTGTACCTGTAATTCTTTTACTCTAGTAGCTTTAGTCTCAGGTTGAGCTTCTACCATGACAGTTTCAATACCAACTTGTATAGCTATAGAATTTGTAGTTCCATAATTATCACCTGTCAACATTATGCTTCTGACTTTCATGGATTTTAGAATTGGAACAACTTCTTTTGCATTAGGTTTCAATGCATCAAACACATCCAGAACTCCAACAACTTCTCCATCCGATGATTACTAAAATCCCAATTTGAGCCATAGTTTCACCTTTTGCTAGTGCTTCTTCAGCTTCTATTGAAATAACTATGTTATGATCTAGCATTAATTCCTTATTTTGAACAATTGCTTTCACTCCATGTCCTAAAGCAGATACAAAGTCTTTTGCTTCTGGGAATGACTGATTATGTTCATCTTCTAAGATATCTTTCACATGATCAACAATGGCCTTTGCTATTGGATGATCACTATTCACCTAGTCATATAGAAATAACAACAATGATTGAATAATATAGCTTCAACATTTCACATTAAAGATGTGTCCAGTGTCCAACATATGTGGTTAAATTAGATAATATCATTTTGTTAAATTATTATCAATCTATGTGTCAGTGCCTGTGTTCATGTTTGTCAATACTTCATAGTTGAATAATAATATTACTTCAGATATTCAAATAAATATGACTAATAGAAGAAGTCTTGCCTCTGCTGCATCCACAAATTTATAGAAATCTCTAACTGATATGTTTTTGAAGAGTTCTGTAGTTACAAACATTGGCGTCCCAACAGTGAGAGTTCATGTCTTATCAAACACAATGCAACTCACCTGCAAAATTGTAAGTAGCAAGTGAGTTTTATTTCTGTGGAAATGGTAATTTGAGATGAAAATTAATGACATTCACACTCACCTTGTGTGCAATTTCTAATACTTGGCCATGTTTGATCAAAAGACCTTGATTGCACCAACTCCAGTACCAACCATGACAACTGTAGGAGTGGCTAGTCCAAAAGCACATGGAAACTATATTATAAAATAAAATAATCCAAACTGAGTCAAGGTATTTTGGATCATACCCAAAATTTTGTGATTCATGCATATCTTTGTAATTGGGGTCTCACTAAACATCAATGAAGTTTTTGTTTTCAAATCAGGATCATAATATGGCTTTTGTTAAGCATTTCCGTAAGCATTTTAGAAAGGAAAAAAAACAGAAACAAATAATACTCAAAATAAAGTATTTTGTTGAATTTATTAGAATCTACTTAGTTTATACAAGATAGTTAAATGCATGAGGTAAGGGCAATCTATCAGGTTATAGATTTAACGTATTGACAATCAGGAAGTAAACACGTTAGGAAAATATCAAAATTGATAAGTTATTCAAGGACTTTCAAATTTACAAAGAATTCTAGTAAAATTTACAAGATATCTCATGCAGTTAAATTTACAAGATAGAAGACTCATATGTGTTGCATCTTGTAATGCAACATATCCAAATGAAGTTAGAAAACTCCTATGTGTTGCATCTTCTTATGCAACATATCTCATGCAATAACATTTACAAGATAAAGTTAGTGCAAGTTTACTTACAAGATAAAGTTAGTGCAAGTTTACTTACAAGATAAAGTTCCTTTAAATATCTTTGAGTACACCTCTGAAACTTGTACAACATATTAAAATCTATAATGATGTTCAAATAAGGACAGTAACCAGATTTAGATTAAAGGGAAAACAATTTTTCATAGAGATACCAGAGCTTGTAGGTTTATCAGTATATTCCCCAAAAAGCTTGTAGGTTTATCAGTATATTCCCCAAAGAGCTTGTAGGTTTATCAGTATATTCCCCAAAGAGCTTGTAGATTCCATACCAGACAAAACCCTGTAATACTACAACAACAAATGTTTCTCTGGCTGTTCTATGGTTATTGAAAAAAATCCAAGTCTAGTTATTATATTAAACACTATATCTACTCTATAATAGGATAATCTATAGAGGTTATTGTGTTAAGTTTAGAACAAGATGCTTGTATGCCATGACCCTTAAGAAAATCAGTACAACAAAGTCATAAGTAGATTGCTAGTCAAATACTCTAAAGCAATTTGGTAAATGCCAAACATGAAAAATTCAAAAAGTACCCTGTCACTGTCATAAAGAATGCAAGTGTTAGCTACAGTAAGGTTTATTCCCAATCAACCAGTCCTAGTTGAAAGAAAAAAGATTCTGAAATTGATATTTATATCATTGAAGTCCTAGATCTGCTTGTGAGCCAACAAAACAAACATAAATTTATCCTTTACAAATAATTAAGATCAGTGTTCTCAAAGAGAACAGAAGATGATAATATAAGTGTGTTGTAATAAAAACCCATGATTTAAACAAAAACATAGATTTCTTAATCAGTGTGTCTGATATGAATTCAACAGTCATCAATGTACTTGAAAGCATGACAACGCCTAATTATGACTAACAATTAGACTAAAAAATCAAATAACATCACATCAGCTTAATCAAAAACAACTCATTGGAAAAACATAAATCAGAATCAATCCAATAATTGAGTTAACCAATTACTGAAACATGTACAAGCACTTTTTACTAGCTCAGTGTAACATTAATGAAACCTACCCATGTTCTAATGACACGATTACAATTAAACCTACAATCTGAATCCAATTGAAGTGTGTTCTATTATACAGTCCTGTTTGATAATCGGACACCCGCAAAAACGACCCTTTGTTATCAACAAGAGATAAACTTGTATCTCGTGTTCAACATTAACATTCCATATAAAAAATATAAGGGTCTATTACAAGGATATACATAATGAACAATAAAAGAATAAACTTATCACCTAATTCACCTTACTCAATTTCCTATTTTACACTTGCTGGCAAGTAAATCTGTTCCATCTCATTACTGACTTCTATTCATATCTCTGTTTTGACAGCAACCAACACCTCTTCTCTAAAGGAATAACAACTAGTCAACAAAATTCAAAGTTAAACTAGAATTCGATTACAAAAAATTATAATTTACAGTACCTTAACAACATAACCAACACATCAAGTTAAACTAAAATACAATTACTTAACAAACACATAACAATAACTTAACAACAAGACAATTTTGTTTCGCAATTTAGGGTTTAGAGGAGAGGGAAGGTTTATGTAAAAATGAATATAGAGAAGAAAAAGAAAAACTTAAGGTTTGAGAAGACTAACCTATTAAAAACGGTTTGGGGTTGTTGGTGTTGGTGGGTTTGACGGCAGCGTGAACTGAGAAAGAGATACCAAGGCATTTTGTCAACCTTGTTAACCACTTCTTTGCTGTGAATTTGAAAAGGCAGAGTACAAGTAAGAGGGCCCTAAAAATGAATTGCGTTTTTCCTCTTTCTCCAATTTAGGGAAGCAGTGTTGGGGATGGCGGTTGAGCAAACACGGTCGTATAATTGGAGGAAAAACACGTTTTCGATCTCCCTAATTGGAGCACCATAATGTTAAACCAGCGTGTTGGGCCAAATTTGGGTGAGGACAGTTGTTTAATCGCCGAGACTTGGCTTTTAGGGCGGTTCCATGAAACAATCGTCGCCACTTTTTTAATTTTTTAAAAATAAAAGGGTGAAAGGTGCAAACCGTCGTGACAACCGCCGCTACAAGAATGTTACGACGGTTATCAAGTAATTATCACAATTTTTGTGTCGACCCTAATTTTCTTCTAGTGTTTCCATCTGGATGACTTTTCTAGATTTTTGATCAATTACCGTTATATCATACTTCTATGGCACATCTTTGGTATCTTTAAAGTGGAATGGATTGAGTTTCTGAATAATCACTAATTTTTGTTGATTTACCGATGGATCAATAGGCTTTGCAATGTTGAAAATTGGCTTCGACACATTGAAAATAGGCTTTGCAGAACTTGACTCTAGCAGGTTGAATACCGGTACCTTATCACTTGACTTTGTCAGATTAAAGATAGGTTCAATCACTGACATATCATCTCTCTTACTTTTCTATCCACTTGTAAGAAACCACTGTCAATCAAATTTTGAACGCCTCTTTAAACCAACAAACACTCCTTTGGGTCGATAGCACAATCTTCACATTCTGAATGACAATCCGTAACCAAACCAGCATCTACCAACTTCTCATGAAAAGCTCCGAGCGGGGTTCTAATCTCAGCAACATCAAGAATCAAAGTCTAATCGGATGCATCTTCAACGGCATTAACTTTTCCATAGGTGGGCAAAAGATTGTTCTTAACATTAGGATGAGAGTCACTAAAAGACATAATCTTCTTCTCCATCAATTCCCTTACAATATGTTTCAAGGCAAGGCACCCTTCCAAATCATAGCTTTGCGCGCCTTCATGAAACGGACAGTGAGTGTTGGGTTGTAATAAGGCGAAAGCGGATCTGGAGTCGGACCCACAGGCCTTGTAGTTATCAACCCTTGTTGCACTAATGAAGGATATAGCTCTTTATAGGTCATTAGAATAGGAAGAATCAGAGGTTTTCCACCTTATCCTCTGTACGAAACATTTTGACGAGGAGCCTGGGTCCTTTGTTGTTGCTGATATGCAAGAGCGTTGGGTGCTCGTTGATAAGGTGGTTGTTGTTGAGCCGACTGGTAAACAGGTGCTTGTGGTACAGGTGGATACCCAGGAGCTTGATTATTGAATGTAGGAGTGATGACAGCCACAGAGGGTTGATGGTTGTATTGAGCTGGATAAACAGGATGTTGAACATAGCTCTATTGTAATTGTTGGTGATGCTTCCAAGGCTGGTTCTTCTTTATGCTTGACATTACAACATTGGTTTCTCCCTCTTTCTTCTTATGAAAATTGGTGGAGGGTTTCTTGGCATTGTTGTTGCTTCTTCTTGAGCTACCAGCTCCACTAGTCATCTTTCTATTTTTTAGACCAAGCTCGACTTTAACGTCCACGGCCATAATATCATAGAAGTTAGAAGTTACACTATTGATCATCCTTTCATAGAACTCTAGTCTCAGAGTATCAACAAACTAGTCAGCCAGTTCCTTTTCAGTTAATGGTGGTTCTACTTGCGAAGCCGTTTCTCTCCAACATTAAGCATATTCTTTAAACGACTCGGAGCTCTTCTGGGACATACTCAAAAGTTGTCTTCTGTCAGGAGCAAGATCCATATTATACTTATAGTGCTTAATGAAGACATCTGACAAGTCTTGAAAGCTATGGATATGGGATTGATCAAGACTTAGGTACCATTTGGAAGAGGCACCCTTCAAGCTATCCTGAAAGCAGTGAATCATCAACTTGTCATTGTTAACATAGGTAGCCATCTTTCTGTAATACATAATCAGATGAGTTCTAGGGCAAGTGGCACCCTTATATTGGTCGAAACTCGGAGTCTTGAACTTCGGTGGAATAACCAACCCCGATACAAGACACATCTCTCTTGCATCAGCCTCAAATATATTATTGCCCTCTATGTCTCACACTCTTCTCTCAATAGTCTCAACATTTTCTTTCAGCTTTTCATGGCGCTCATCCCCCTCTTCAGACATGTTAGGGATGTCATAGACTTAATGCGGATCATGGAAATAAGGACGCACTTGTGTTTGCACGACAATGAGCGTAAAGGTAGGGATTGCTTGAGGAACTTCAGATGTCAGAGGAACAGTCTATTGAGGCAACTGTTGAGTAGTTTGCATTACAAATGATGTTGGTACAAAACCAAAAGAAGGACCATAAGGAGGCACACTGGAAGCACATGTTATATGCGTAGGTTCTACTGTTGTGTTGATGATCTCAAAAACCACGGTGGTCTGGCTGTCCATATTTGCACGTATAACCTGCAACATCTCCATAAGCTGTCCTACGCTCCCTCGTAGGTCTTCCAATTCATCACTAACTCATTCAATCTCTTGATTCTGCTATGCTATCCTTCTACGAGCTTAGGCTCGAGTGTTGTAAGGGAGGTGAGGTTTCAGTGTGAATAGCTGAAGACGAGACAACGATATGAGACAAGACAAAAG